GCAGATGATCTCACCGCTACCGTAACATTACCTCCCCCCTTATAAAAGTTGTTTTGTGGGGGGAAAGCTAAGGTGCTTTTCACCCCAAAACAACTGCACATAAAACAAAACATTGCATATCACATTACCACTTACCACAACCATATTAAACACATTTATGCACAACTGTATCGATTAACATATACTTACATTCAAATAAGCGATTGCGTACATATATACATAAACCATATAGAAATAACAACACACTTTATAACTTTTAAAAGTTATTACAAGAGTCCATATTAGTTCAACCGTCGTCGTCGGGTCTTCAGGATAAGGCGTCAGCAACACAGTTCATAGTCCCTCTGACAACCTTAACCTCAAAATCATAGTCCTGCAACATTAAAGCACGTTAATGTCCATGGAGATGCAGATTTTAATGACAATTACAACTGTCCAGTCTCCTGTCAGTCGTTTGGCTTTCGAGGCAAGATTTGAGTCTCTTTTGCAAAGTCCAGGTTATCAATGTCCAAAGCATGCTCACTCTCGCAGTCATCAGCGCACCACCTCACCTTTCCAAGTCCGTATTTCACAGCATTTGAAATGAAGGTGGACCCATAGTGGTAACCAGGCGTAATGAAGACTGGTCTGGATGTTACCACCTCTTTCAGCTGGATATACGACTGCTGGCACTCAGGAGTCTCTCTGTCGTCCACAGGCTCCTTCATCTGCAACCTCTTCCGTCATCTGGCGGTCATCGGCCACTCGGTTGACCCCGGGATGTCATCAGATGGATGTATCATAGTGAAGCCAGCTCTCTTTCTGGCTTGCGGCTTCATCATCTCATTTGGGGAAAGGACAGGCAATTTCCTCTCCTCCACCTGACCATCTCTGGAGGCGTCCCTCTTTAAAGCCTCAGAGTGGATGCCTTTCTCCACCTCTACATATTGTCTCACAGATACATTCTCAACATTGTTTTCCCTATGGGGGAGAACACTATCACGGGTTACTCTGTATGGGGTTACAGCCTGTGGGGGTGCACTACCCATATTTATTCAAAGTAACACTCCCTTGGCTACATCAGGTTTGTTTGAGAAAACCTGTTGATGCTTATTAACCAATGTTTTTAGATCCCTCTGCTGTTTTATGGATAAGGCAGGGCTGATCTTCACCGCCTCTGGGTTGAACTTTGGCTGACCCCTCCCTTCCCAGAAGGGTAACTCATGTTCTCCTTTATCAGCTGCTTTCATTGTAAACTGCACATTTTTCCTTCTCTACAATATGGCTTAAGGGCATTTACATGGAGCATCTTCCTGCCCAGGTGCTCATCTCCCTCACTAATGGAACTGAGGTCACCTATTTCATGAATAACTCTACATGGACCTTTCACCATCCCCTCTATTAACAGTTCAGTTGGAATGGTCCCACCAAACTGCTCCGATAATCCATCACTCTGCTGATGATAAGGAGAAGCTTTCACATGTATTACTCCACAAATCTGCCACCATCTCTCTATAAGTCTGGAGGCAAACGATGGTTCTATAATGTCTGCTTCAATACTTTTAATAGGTGTTGAAATTACTGGTAAAGGGCACAGCTTAACCATGGTCTTGTCACTGTTATAGTTCTGTTTCTGGCACAAATCAAATTTCTGACAGAAATTTTAAATTTGTTTTCCTAATTCAAGCCAGTAAAAGTTCTGGGTTATTCTCTGTGTGGTTTTATTTATACCCAAATGTGCATCAACTATGTCTGAATGTCCCATTTCCAAAATCATTGAACAATATTTATCTGGTACAACTAACTTGCTTCTAATCTCATTTCCCCTTTTTGAAATATTCATCAGTGTTTCTCTGTATGGCAAACCATGTTTAATAAGGAAATGTTCAGGGGATTCAGGGGATAATTCTCTACTAGCCACTTTATCAAAACAGCCTTTTAAAGTGGGATCTGCTAGCTGCTCTTGGGAACATATACTTTTCTGAGGTATTTCTAGAGAAAATGCCCCAGCTTGGGGTATATTTTCTTCTCTCT